GAATCAACGAACTCCACGATGCGAAATGAAGATCTACTAGATATTAATTAAATTATAAATATATCAATTCATGTGAATATGACTGAAACTTTTATTTTTTTCTGAAAAAGTGGTGTCTATTTACTTGTGACCACGCTGTGTATATTGACGACCTGATTCAATGTAGTAATATATATATATATTATTTTTTTTCACTCTTGCATGGATTTAGAAATAAGATGAATCCGTCGAGTGTTCAAAAATACTTTTGTTCGTGTAAATAATACACGTACAAACAATAAAGCAATCGATAGGTCTCAACACCTTTACTCTGAAAGTAGCCAACAATAGAGGAACAAGGAAAAATATAACCGGGCAATAACGCAGTAGTTAGGATATCAATTACTTGAGAACAATAAAGACAAATAAACTGTGTAAAGAGTAGGCCTACCTGGTATTCAACATAATCGTAACTCAGATTATAGACTTAGAACACTCTCTTGAGTACGTGAGGGTTAAGATTGATCTGTAGCATTTGTTGGATTCCGGCATAGTAGAAAATTACCAGGTAATACCCGTGATGGACTAGCTGTAGGGCCATTTTACATACCATTCGCTTGGTTTGATTAATTACACTTCAGTAGTTATCACAAATGTCTCAGAAAATACCCACTTTTTTGTTTACACATAACTATCGACTCATCTGCTCGTTTATTCAACTCTTTATTTATTGTCCATCTCTCATCCTGTCTATCTACCTGTTTCTTTACATATTGCTATAGAGTCACCTGTCTCATTCAACTCTCTATTTATCTGTACCTCTCCCTAAGATTCTGTCTATCTAACTGTTTCTTTACATATTGCTATAGAGTCACCTGTTGTCTCATTCAACTCTCTATTTATCTGTACCTCTCCCTAAGATTCTGTCTATCTAACTGTTTCTTTACATATTGCTATAGAGTCACCTGTTGTCTCATTCAACTCTCTATTTATCTGTACCTCTCCCTAAGATTCTGTCTATCTACCTCTTTGATTAGATATAACTATCGATTCATCTATTCATTCATTAAATAGTTTATCTATCTGTCTGTCTCTCCAGCGACAACGTCTTTATCTGTTTGTTTACATACAACTATCTAATGACATATTCATTCAGTCTACTTTTACCTATCTGTCCATCTCCTATAGATTCTGTTCATCTACCTCTATGTCTACATATTGCTATGAACATATATTCATTTACTCATCTCTTTACCTATATATCCATCTGCCTAAAGATTCAGTTTATTTACCTACTTGTTCATAGATAATCATCAATAGAGTTGTCCATTATGTAAATAATCTGTGTATCTATCTACCTGTTTGTTTACAGTTAATTTGCTACTAATATATTTATTAAGGTTTTTTTCGTCGATCTGTCTATCCAGAAAGGGTTACTTTAACCTCATACCTGTATAGCTATCAAAGATAATTATATTCCAAGTGTAACGAATTTATTATTATATATTTATTTTAATATCAACGTTCGTTTAGA